TATATATATCTGATCTTTATCTGCAAAGGACCTTTGAACCACTGACCTTTGGATTAACCCTCCCAGCATAATCCACTGTGTCACCATTGCCCTTTGGTAAATAACAGCAAATTAAAATCTTAGGCTAATTTTAAAAAAGTGAACTGGGTGGGGCACGTAGGAAGGAAAAAGTGCAACAATGAATGAATGAAAATCCAACTTTACTTACACCTTCGTTAAAATCACAATACAAATTTTAAAAGAACCCAACAAAATGAAATCTCAGGCTAAGCAAAACTGACATGCTAATACCAGGTATTAGTATTGCAAATGCTTTTTAGAATCCTGTTCGTTGTTTTTGACCTTGTATTATGACGTCTTCACAGAGATGCTTCTAAGTTCTCTTATGATTCTAGACATTGCTTTGTAAAGTTCTTCAATTGTAAATAGATTCTGGAATCCGAAGAATTTCAGTTGTCAAGCGGGGGTGGGGCAGGAAGCAGAGTTCCCCTTTACAAGCCCTCCTCACTTAACCTGAAATTTGAATTCCTGGTCAATTAGAAAGGCATGTGATTTGAATCCACCAGCAGCTCGCGGAGAAAGATGGGCAATCTCTTCCTGGGCGATTTCCAACCTCTGAAAAGCTGCTGGAGGGTCAGCTATAAGTCAGTTTCGACTCGATTACATATAATTAACAAATCAGCCCGACAGGTCTACACAGCTTCTATCCCAAATTAGAAGCACCTATCAATTCTGTCTTTGAAAGGTGAACGAGTTCCCTCTGAAACATGGATCAAAAAATGGCAAACCACAGGGTTTCTCACCCACAGAGGAACCACTGGAGAACCCTTCCAACGGAAAAAAGCCTCGCACCGTGCTTGGGACTGAACAGCTTTTGATTGGTTTTTCCGTTTTCTGAATTAGGATCTGTGGAGTCTCAGGAGCGCAGAGTTCCCTCACAAGGAGATCAGAAAATCCTTTTCGGCTCCACACCCACGAAACTGCAGCCTTCCTTCATGGTTTGCCCCGCCAGCCTCGCGGCCAAGGGGGTGTGCCCCGCCGAGGGCGTCAGAGTCTCGGGAGTCGTCAAAGTCCCCCCTACCACGCCCCTCCCAGCTCCGCCCCCACCGGCGCCCCGCCTCCTCGGCCTCCGAAGCCCCGCCCCCGAAGGCGGGCGCCGGGCTGCGGGTGGGCGGCGGGGCTGGCGCAGGGGCAGCATGCCGGCCGGGGGCGGGGCCAGGCCGGGCGACGTGAGGGGCGGAGCCGCGGGGGCCACCCGGGCTTTTGAGGCTCCAGGCCCCTCCTTTAAGGAAGGAGACCTGGGCGAGCAGCCGTTCCTAGCGCCCGCGTCGCCTCTGCCGCTGCGTCCTCCGCCGGGGACCTGGCGAGTCTCCAGATCGCGGGGCCCTGGGCACCGCCGCGGCCCGCAGAACATGGCGCCGTGGACGTTCTGGCGCTGCTGCCAGCGCACAGTGGGCTGGGTGCCGGTGATCTTCATCACCTTCGTGGTGGTCTGGTCCTACTATGCCTACGTGGTGGAACTGTGCGTGTGTAAGTGCCGGGCGCTGCAGGGGCGGCCGCGGGCGGCCTGGCTGGGGGCAGCGAGGGACTGGAGGGACAGGGAATCGAGGGTCGCCTGGCGGAGTGGGCAGAAACAGAGGGACCGGGGTCGGCGGAGCAGGAACCTCGAGAGTAGGGTCTAGGGGTGGTAAGAACACGGAGAGTCGGGGGTCGCTTGGCTGGGACTCTGGAAACAAGGGAGCGGACTGTATGGAACACTACAGACAGGGATGAGGTCCCCTAACTGAGGACAGTAGGGATGTTGTGACCGGGGCCACCAAGATCATGAGAATAAGGGCTGGGGAGCGGCCTGACTGGGTCTCTGGGCACGAGCATCGGAGGGGACCTGTCCTGGTCAGTTGGGAATGCTGGGCCGGGGTCGCCTGGTGGGGACAGACGGGCGCTAGGCACTGACCGGGCTGGGGCTTGGCCGCGCTAGAGGAGGAAGTTGGGGCCTCTGCGGCGCCTGCGGCGACCCGCCCCCGGGAATCAGCGTTTGGGGTGCATTTGCCCCGGCGCCAGCCTGCGGCGCTTGCCCCCGAGGCTTCGGGCGCCAGCTCTTGAAACCTGCCCCCCCCCCCAGTCGCTCCCTTTGTTGAGCCCGCTCCACAGTGGGCCTGAGGCGGCGGCGGGGTGACGGCGGGCGCCACCTCTGGGTGCTTTCCGGGTCTTTGCAGAGGGCGCCAGAGAGGGAATCCTGTGTCTGCGGTGCACTTCACCGCGAGATTCCTCCTCCTGTGCGGGAATGTTCCCAAAGGGGTTTTCTTCGTGGGAGGTTTTTCTATTTGCATTTGTCTGTGTGTTTCTGGTGTTTTGTTTTGTTTTTAAGTAAATCTGGCCCCTGGGTAGATTTTGGTCCAAGTAGCATTAAAAGAATTGCCATGCCTGTTACCCGAAGTGGGGACGGTGGGAGGTCTTCTGTTGTTGCCTTTTCTGCAGAAGACCATTTGAGAGCTTGAGAGTCGAATGGAGTGCCCGCCAGTAATACTTGATTGGGGTAGTTGATCGATTTTTAAAGTTCGTTTCTTTCCAGCACCTTATACAAAATATTGCTTTGTTAGCAGGCATGAGAGAATGCATTGCCTGGTTACCTTTTTCTTGGCTGTTACGGGGGTTTGAGCTCAGGTGGTGTAGTCAGGAGGGAGTTGCCCTGCTAACCCAAAGGCACAGTGTGCCTCCTTAGTGGTTCAAAACCACCGGCCCCATGCATGAGCAGTCTCCACAACACACTCCCACCCTGTGCGATCTACTGCTTCCTAATATCCGCTGCAGTGTCAGTTCAGACTCAGTGGCTGTGATTGTGAGTGATGTCAGAGTTCATACACGTTCAGATTTAGAATCCTATTTTGTTTTCTTTTATTCCCATTTTCCTGGTAAATTTTTAGTATTCTCAGGGGAGAAAAGGAGTACTATTGCAGTATGCTTTAAGAATTCAAGATAATGCTTCGAGTAAGATGTCTTTAAGCTTGAAGGAAGTTGACATTTTTTGCCCGGTTTGGGGGCCATGACTAGGATAAAGATCCTCTACTGCTAATGGAAATGTTGGACGTTTAAAGATTGAATCAGTCACTGATTATCGAGTTGAAATAGACATAACTGACCTTCCAGTGAGTTTCCCAGGCTGAAAAATCACTTAAGAAATTGCCCGTGATTCTCCATTGAATCTCCTGGTAGATTCCAACTCCCACAGGGCCATGACTTTGAGTTAGCAGCACTGCTCCTTGAAGACTGCACCCACAAAGCTCCCTTAAGACTATAGGCTAGAAAACCTTTGGGACAATTTTTTATGCATCATACAACATCTGTAGGAATTGAAATAGACTTCATATCGCCTAACAACAACACTGAGATGTTGCACAAAGATTGATACAGCTGTGAACCAAATGCTTTGGGAGTGAAGTCCACCCAGAGTTAACCTGAAAAAAGACGTAGCCATTTTCTTTCCCTTGTTGTGTTGTTGTTAAGTGCCATTGAGTCGTAGGCGACTCATAGCAACTCTATGAACTAAAGACGTGAACACTTGTATAACTTTCATCCTTTCTCCAGATTCATAGGGTTTTTGGAGGCAAGCTATTTTTGAAGTGGATGCCACTCCGGCTTTCATGCTTGTTTTAATCAGGGAGCTCCACCAAACACTGTCCGCCATGGGTAACCATTTTTGCATTTGACACATCATTGTCACAGTGTTCACAATTACCTCTGTATAGCAAGTGAACAGACCAGGGTTATATGACCTAGACGAATGTTTCATTAAAAACAGGCCTAAGGGTTGCAGATTAAAGTCACCCACCTTTGGCTTGGTAGCATCACTTTCTGTCCACTAGGCTATCTGATCTCTCTATGCTGTTGTTGTTGTTGTTAAGTGCCTTCGAGTCATAGGCGACTCCCAGTGACCCTATGAACGAAAGACCTGAACACTTAGATAACTTTCATCATAACTCTTTCCCTTACCCCTCAATAAAACGGATGATTTAAAGCCCAAAGGGTCACAGGTCTGCTATGAAACATATGGGGTCACCAGGGGTCAGGATTCGCTTTTGAAGGTATTTATCTTTGAGGCAGAACTAACCCATGGCTGAAACGCCAGCAGATTTTCAGAGGAAGTAAATCACCTAGGAAAGGGGGGAATTGGATGCACATTTTTCTCAGTCAAAACAACTGGTGGATTCATACCTTTGAGTTGGCAGTGTTGTTCCTTCCCAGTAAGCTACCAGATCTCATCCTCCTTAAGTTGAGCGACTGTATTGATTTATGATGGCCTCCCTGGGGTGGTTCTGTGTTTATCTGCTGTTCCTGAAAATCCAGAATCTGATGGAGTTTGTGAAAGCGATACCTGGGCATCTTAGAATGACGTTAGTCTTCTTAGTTCTTCCACTGAGTCCACAGTTACTTAGAGGCAAGTAAAGTATATTTTTTATTTTTATTTTTATTTTTTTAAAGCCAATCAAATTCAGCAGTGGGGGGTTGTATACCAACTTTAGTTGCACTAATGTTAATAGTTTCTGATAACCCACTACCATCGGACCAGCCAAGTAAAGTATATTCTTTTTTAAAAAGAGCTGCATGGCATGAATGACCATGAAGAGAGTATGTGTGTGTGTGTGTGTGTGTGTGTGTGTGTGTGTAAAGGAATTATTATACCTCAGAATGGCAGGTAAACAAGACTCAGCAAAATAGTGGCTGAATAGTATAGTTGAAAGTACTTGGTTAAAAAAGCTAGAATTCAGTTTTTTGGAAGGAATGCTTTGGTCCACAGCTAAAGGCTTAAGGTTAGAGCTTTTTAAAGTAAAATAACCAGGCCAGGTTCTAGTGGCCTAGTCTGTAGTGAGTTGTTCTAACAATCTATTAAAATAGTTTAGTCACTTCCTCTTTCATTTTTTTTGGGGGGGAGGGATACCAAAATGTTAGCCAAAAATACTACTTTTTAAACAAAATTATTATTGACCCCACAGACCAAAAGTTTATAGTGATAGAAAACTCAGTTTACAAGGATAATTTATCTTTTATTTACTCTGAAACCAAACCAAACTCTGGCATAGAGTCATATCCCTTAGGGCTTTCTGAGTCTTTAGATCTTAACAGAAACAGACTGCCTTTTTTTTTCTCCTGTGGGGCAACTAGTGGATGCAAACTGCTAACTTTTTGGTTAGTAGCCCAAGACCTCAGCCACAATGCCACCATTATTTACTTCAAAATGGATGTTTATTCTAAAAGTTGTGCTCTACATTTAATTCTATTAGGGGACTTTCCATACCCTGATGTTAGTTCTCAGTGTATTTCTCAAGCTGGAAGAGCTGGAGGAAAATTCACACTTTGAGTTGCAATATTGAAGGGTTATATAGGCAAATTAATTAAAGTGCCCAGAAACATCAAAAGAAAATGGAAGAAATACACAAAGTCACTGTTCAGAAATAGTGTTCAGCCATTTTAAGAGGTTGCATATAATAAAGGACCGATGGTACTGAAGAAAGAAGTCCAGGTTCCACTGAAGGCAGCAGGGATAAACAAGGCTTCAAGAACTGATGGCCTATCAATTGAGGTGTTTCAATAAATGGGTGCTGCACTTGCAGGAACTTGCTTATCTAAGTCAAGACATTTGGCCACCTGACTAGAAACATTCATATTTGTGCTCATTTCAAAAAAGATGATCAGTCCGCTCAATGTAGAAGTTAACAAACATTATCACTGATATCACACAGATAATTTTGCTGAATATGGTTCAAAGACAGTGGTAGCAACACATGGACAAAAGTGTCAGAAAATCAAGCTGGATTTAGAGGATATCATTGCTGAATGAGGGACATTACTGCTGACATCATGTGCATCTTGACTAAAAGCAGAGACTACCAGAAAGGAATTTACCTGTGTTTTATTGACTACACAAAGGCATTTCTTGTGTGAATATATATCATCGTGAGGAATGAGCATTCCAGAACACTTTATTGTGCTCAGATGGAAATTGTGCACAGACCAGGAGCCTCTTGTTTGAGCAGAACAAGATGATACCACATGGTTTCACCATGCTTATCCAGTCTGCCTGCTGGACTGTATGAAGAAGAACATGAATGATATCAGTCATTAACAACCTGAAAGGCAGATGGTACAATTTTACTTGCTTAAAATGAAAAGGACTGAAAGGCGCGTACTAATCCAGATCAAAGACTGTAGTCTTCAGCACAGATTACACCTCAACATAAAACAAAAATCCTCACAACTAGACCAATAAGCAACATCGTGATAACGAAAGAAAAGATTGAAGTTTTCAAGGATTTCATTTTACCTGGATCCACAGTTAACATCCACAGAGCAGTAATCAAGAAACAAATACCAGATTGCTGTGAACATAGCTGCTGCCAAAAGTTTCTTTTAATGTGTTAGAAAAACAAAGAAGTAGTGAAGAGGAATAAAAAAAGAAAAACAAAGAAGCCACTTTGACCGAGTCAGGTACGCCAGGCCACACCTTATTTTCTGTTGCATCATATGCATGAAAA